GCGTATTTTGTTTGCAAGACGGAGCTCCATTTCGAAGAGTTTTATAATCACCGTCTACGACTGCATTCACTGAGTGCACTCCGTAATGGGCTTCAAATAAATATACCAAATGCGAAGACGTAGTTTAATGGTACTTAAGATGATCGTAAGCAATCGGCTTTTGGCTCGTTGGTAGGCTTGCAAAAAGTAGGTTTTAAAATGTATTTCCAACAATAAACCTTATGTAGGTTTATTATTGGAAATTTTGGAAATTTAAAACTATTTGTGACGCTCATTTTTTTATATTAACTAGTGACCGGACGTACAAGTCGTGCGCCTGGTGATAAGCGACACGCATTTTCATACAGTTGCAATCGCAAAGATCTGAGGGGCACTGCCACTGCTCCCGTCACCCTGAGACATAAGTTGACAAGTCCCATGTGCCTGTAATTTCACTTACGTTTCGAAACCGGAACGCAGTGGTGGTCACATTACTGCTTGGTGGCAGAAATAGATAAGGTGGCAGTACTTCCCTGGACGAACTCTTTCGCAAGGAGCTCCACTGTTACTAAAAATTTAATTTAAATAGATACAGAGTTTTATATACTTTTTAAAGTCCCTATTAACTTATATCGCGTACTTTTTATTGTTGTGATAGTGCCCACAAAATTCTCAGTCTCTTTTTTATCTAAAAATATTTCAAAAACCTATTAAGTTGTTAGGTGAAGGGTAATTTAGCGACTTATTTGAAATATGTTATTTTCATGCAGTTCTTTATTCCGATCATTTCTGCGTACCCTAAAAAACCAGACGAAAAGTTTCTCATGTGGTTCGATAAATTTCGAAGCAAACTATCCAAGCGACATTTTCATTACTGAATGTGCCGGTTTGGAATTTATGCGTCGACTCTCATAGGTAGTAAAAATGAGGCTACTATAATCCTTAACCGCCGAATAAAAAAGACCATGCCAAGCAAGCGAAAAAAAAACAGCAGAGTGGGCATTTTGACACACAGTAAAATAGGTACAAGAGTACAAATGATTTTGAACCTTATCATATTATTCGTTTCAAGTATCTGTTGCAGGAGCACCACTATTTTCAGTGTAAACTCGTACCCAGCTATGTAACTACATATTAATATTTAATAATATTCCTTGGTATAATAATAACTAAATTCATTATAGCGATAAAACTGAACTACCATATCTATATGTGCTTGCCAATAAAATTGTAAAAACCAAAGAGTAATCGAAAAGTGCTGGAAATCATCTGCAAACGCTCGAATAAAATTGAATGTTGATGAAAGCAATTTGAATAGACGCAAAGAGAGCTAACGAAGCCTCGAAAAAACCGAAATCACAGCGTATAAGCGTTTATGATCATTGAATTGCTAACGGCCATTGCTTTCCGCTCGGAATGTTTAGTTAGATTAATTGAAACTTCGACAAAATGTTGAGAAAAATGTCAGAGCGACAGTTCACCACGTTAATATAGAATTGTAAAAACATCAATACATTTTTAAATGCCTTTCGAGATTTATAAAATTGTGATTTAGATGCCTATGAAGAAGCTATTGCCCGTTACTTCATCTGCCTCTGTATGAAAGGATTAAGGAATTCACATCAAAAGCATACACAGTAAAATGAAACTAAGTTTTCAAAACACCAATTGCAGGCAAATATTAAAACACCACTTTGATAAGAATCTCCAGCGAAATGTGTCTCATTATGGCGCAGTAAATGCTGTATAAAAGCCAGAATATCAACTCTTTTGTCGGCAAGTGCACGGAACGTGGAAACGAGCACTTGTGTAAAAACAGCCAGCTTCGCTTGCTCACAGAAAAGTTGCATTTTTGCTAAGAATTTACCACACCATTTGCCTATCATGTAGACGAATACAAAAAAAACTTGAGCAGGCATTTCTTTACGATTTAAAAATATGCTTAGATTTGTCAACGATATCACTGGCTGGAAAGTAAAGGCGTGTGCATGACACATTCGCTTAGAAAATACCTGTTTACTCCTTAGAAGAAAATCACAAATCAAAGTGGCCCTTAAACTTTAATGTAATAATATTAGGTAGTGTAGTATAATCAAAAACCATATTAATGTCACAAAAATGATCACAACTTACAATATTTATTAGTAACTTTAAATATTTAATAAGTAAAGTTGCTGTAGCAGCCAGAATGAAAACACAATAAAAGCATTTGCTAGGTACTTGGTTTAGTTATTTTATTACATTAGAAAATGTTGAGCATAATTGGATTTTATTTTACTATCGAGTTCTTAGGTTTTCGCGATTGTTACACATAGGAAATGAAACAATTTTTCCGGATTTAATTCGCGTATATTTGTTTCTTCAAACAAACCGCCGTTTCGGCCCTTTACAGGTCCCATGGTCACGGTTGACTGGCGAAACGGCGGTTTGTTTGAAAAAACAAATGTACGCGATTTAAATCCGGAAAAATAGTTTGATTTTACTAATTAAATTAATAAAATGACTAATATTTTCAGCATCAGTAAACTTCCACTATCCACTAATTACCAATTCAAGACCTAGTAAGGCACTTTACTACTTCAAATATTGCAAATGTCAAACACTTGCTATGTTTTGAATTGGTTATAGTGACTTAACGATTTTTGGCTGGTCAGTAACCAGACTAATTGTGCCTTACTAGGTTTTTAAAATTTTGAAGCAGCTGTCACCGCCAGGCGAGTATTTCCTATGGGATTAGGTAGTAGTATTCCGTTCAAGTGATTTTCAAAAAATTTGTCCATTACTAGATTTTGCTCTAGAGCAACCGACCGCATAGGCACTGGAATAAATTCATAAATCCGCACACGCAGGAAAATTTTTATTCAACCGAACATATGAAGGTTCGAAGTGATTATTCACAACTGGCCGGAGGTTGTTATCGCGGTACCGGTCACAAATCCACGATTCACGGTAACAGCGAATGGCGCGGAAACAACAATCATTGCCCATAAAATCCACTCGCTGAAAATGTTATTTACGACACCCTGACACTTTTCTTTTTTTCTGCTAACGGTGTGTTGTGTATAAAAGACGTGATCTCAGGACGTGATTGTAATTTTAAATTACGGATGTTTTTGGGCGAACTTTTCTTTTCAAAGCCAGTATAAAAACCACCACCTACTTGCAATGCCTTTGATATGATAAATATTTTACAGAGCACGGTGCGTTTATCGTCTATGGTCATACATATTACATTTCATAATTATTATTTGAAAAAATATTACACATTCCAAAGATTTTCGTTGCTACTTGTTCCCAGCGGCATCACAATTTATACACCAATTTTTTTACTGTGTGACTTGTTTGTAAAAGCAAAACGCTCTATGAAAAAAATTTTACACAAACAGCGGACAGTGGTAATTAACCACAGGAAAGTGAGAAAAAAAAAATAAAAAAATTCCATACTCTTGCCTGCTGGGAGAATCCAGTACGAATGTAACGAACCGTATTGAATACGATCCCTACCTGCCCGACGCTAGCTTTAAATTGCATTTTTTATATATATTGAATTATGTATTAATCGTAGGGTTTACAAGAGCACGTCAAGCTTGATACTTAAGATTTAAATCCAACTCTATGCCGCTGACGATAAAAACGGTCCAAAGTACAAAGTGTCAAGCTTGACGTGCTCTTGATTGTACCTATATAAAAGCGACAAGTTACTATTGGAGCCTGAAGTAATAATGACTTATCGATCTACACAATGTTTTGTTATCAATGTTCTTGTTATTGGTTGAAATTCTTAAAGGTCTGCAACGTTTCATAGACTAGTTATTTTCTTACATTCGTATCGATAAAACGCAGCACGATTTTCATCTAATCAACACTATTTTACGATAGTGAAAACAGAGTTGATTTCTCATTAAAATGAGAAATCAACGACGCACACTGGGTCCTGTCCACACAATGTATTGCTCAAAACTCAATTTTCAAAATGTGAGTATTTAAAAAAATATATACATTAGCGTAATAAAGTAGGTATTATAATATCAAACGTAAAAATATTGAGTCGCTACTACTGTCAGTTGTGAAGTGCATCAGTTCAAAGTTTGCTCTTTACGCTAAATAATAATTATTCCGTAACGTAGGTACGTTACTTTAAATTTCAGTTTTAAGCAATAGGTACCTTGTATGGACGAGTCTCAGTGTGCGACGATTAAATCAAATAAAATTTTATTAGCCTTTGTATGTACAACTGTATAATTGGCAACGCGCAGCTTGCTTGTACCATGTATAATGTTGAACCAAACAAGCTTTATAATTTAGTACTGCCAAATATCTGTAATAGTATTCAGTCCTTTTCAGTCAGGTACCACTTTAGTTTTCACAAAAATTGTGTTATTTAAAACTACCGCAACCAGATTATTGTTTCGATATTTTGTAGAGCATTCAATATAATACATAATAATAACAATAAAATTATATATTATTATTATTATCTAGTTATTTTACTTGGTTACTCGTTTTAATATTTTTCATGCATGCATTTAATTGGATTGTTGTTTGCTGTTAAGTTTTCTTCGTAAAACGGAACGTAAAATCGATAACGAACAACACTAGTTATTTCCGTTACATTGATATCGATAAAGCGCAGCGCTAGGCGGAAATCGACTTTATTTTATGTTGGTGGCCCTTCAATGAGAAATCAATATACTTTCTACTTATTTTCTCACCTAAAACCAACAAAAGTATAAGAACTGTTTAGAAAATCGCGATTCTTTAAAAAATACTAAACTAAGGAGCGGTTTATACAGTACAATAAAACTTTACGAAAAGTTAAGAAACATAGATATTAAAAAAAGTTTGGCTTTAATAATTTATAGCCACATAATTTGTAAATGTTTTATTACAATAAAAATATATCTTAAGCACTCCGATCGAATAAAAATACTGTAAATAACCAACGAAACCGAACATCACTGCGCACCCGCGCACCTTTCTGCGCCGTTTTTATCGCGCATGTTGGCAGCCTTGTGCTTCCACCAAGCCACTCTGCCGGACGCCATTACCACGCCACCGGACTACGAATCTGTCAGTAGTGCGTCTTTTCTATAATAATTTTGAAATTGCTTTGAATTCGGTGCTTCCGTGGTAATAATTCAGAAAAGTGCATAAAACTCAAAATGTCTGACGAGAAAAAGGTTTGTACAATTCTGTACTAACAGTAGTTCTAGCTTACGATTTCGAGCTTTTCGACATGGCGTTCTCTGGAAAATGTGGTTATAATTCTCTTCCCTTGTAAAGGTCAAGTGTTCTGCTATCGTAAAATAAAATATTTACGTGAATTCAATTTTTTTTTTCAGGGAGAAAGCGAACACATCAACTTGAAGGTGTTAGGACAAGATAATGCTATTGTGCAGTTTAAAATAAAAAAACATACACCTCTGAGGAAATTGATGAATGCCTATTGCGATAGAGCGGTAAGTACCTTTTATTTCGTTAATATTTTGGCCCTTGGCATAATGCATTTGACGTAAATATGTTGTTATTGACCTTCGTCCAACTTTTCGCGGCGCCGGGCGGGCTCCATTTTGAATGTTTCCCTTTTTCCCTTACCATAACCTAACTGAACCTTTTATGGAACTTAGCATTGCTTTAAGTTTTAGTCTAGTAGGTTTAACAGCGTACTTTTATAGACTAAATACCTACTTGTATTATAAAATTACACTGTCTATATACTGTTTAAACTTTACCGCGTTAAGAATCTTCCTACCCTCGTATAATACTCTGTAATTCCTTGCTAAGTTTTAAGCTGAGAATGAGATCTAGAATGGTACCAACTTTGTCACACAATACACAACTATTCCAGCAAAATACTAATCACCAAATTGTGCGAATATCAAAGACGATGTAAATAATAAATTACCAAATATTGACCTTTTGTTAGCAATAATATCTATAATAATATTACCATTTATTTTCTCCCAACAAGCACAAAATATAAGTACATTGAACATAGAGCTTTGATATGGGGGACAGGAATAATTTCATTTCACAAGAGGTTGCAATAGATAATTGCAAGTTAACAATTTTCTTTATCACTGATTACAACTTTAGGTATTGAAAATAATGTGATAATTTTTTCACGACTACACGGAACACTGACTTGGATATCAAAACGTCATTCAAACGTCAACACTGTTTTTATCCATACTATTTATGTATGCTCTGCAATGACATGAAAATGAACAGTCTAGTTAGCATGGTATTGTGCAAAACATTTGCATAAAGCACTTGCAAGTACAGCGTGGTTGCGACTCATGAATGTAGCCTGCATCTCTGCTCTTGTTGTCTTGTGCTCTTTTATTGTAAATGAGGTCCTCACCTGAGTACTTCATCTGAAAGTCACAAACAAGACCTCTCATATATCTACATAAAACATTCAAGCTATATTGGCACAACTTGTTGAGTACCTATTGAATATTTTGTCAGCACTCTATAGAAATTTTATGATACCTTGTTTTTCACACTCAGTGAATTTTTAGGACACATTGTGGCTACAATTACAATTTAAGTTTCTCATTGCTATTATTTCCATACCATAAACATAAGCAATTATTTGTAATTGTAATCTATTAATTTCTTGTTACAGGGTCTATCAATGCAAGTAGTTCGGTTCAGATTCGACGGGCAGCCAATCAACGAGAATGACACACCAACATCACTGGAGATGGAGGAAGGAGACACAATAGAGGTTTACCAGCAGCAGACAGGTGGAGTGCATCTAGTGTAAATTTTGAGTGGAGCAGCAGACAAGTGGACTACATCTTAAGAAACTATCCAATTCTGTGGCAATGTAACAGTTACTTAAGATGCACTCCACAACATTAAAGAACTGTCCAATTCTGTGGGAAGATCGCTGTGGTGTACCCATCTCAAAACCTTAACATTAAGTTAATTTTAATGATAAACAACATATTTTGTATGGTTTGACGAAATTTTTAAAACTCACCACAATAATTTCTCATCAATGTTGTGAGTCTTGAAATTTCGAGCTTATGTGAGGAAATTTAAGGTAAACCAAATGTTATAGGTAACTTCAATTATTCCATTGTGATAATTTTAGTTGACATGTCAGAATCAGCCAGTATTGAGAATGCTGCAGCAAGGCATTTCTAGAGTTCTGTATGTGATGACTAATTTATTGGACTTGTGTCCATTCCTATCAGGTCTGTAACACTGATGTACCTATCTGAAATAAAAATAAATGTAATGTAATATTTAGTTGTTTTACTACACGTCGAGCGACTTCAATATACCTTTTCCCCGCATGAGATTCCATTTTGTAGGTACTAGACGACTTCGTGAACAAACCTATTACGTCATTAAAGAGTGAATCATCAAGATGTCGTCGGCGCTTTATATAATTTCATGACTATACCTATCGACTTACAATAGGAGAGAACCCATAGATATACAAAACAATTATATTATTGACAGTATTTGATGAATATCCACAATTCTGAATTCTCTAAAGGAATACGTATTACACGGCATATAATTATTATACATAACATTATTTGTTACACAGAACACTACTTAAAGGAGATTATCATCGTCTACAATTTAGTGTTGCACAAGCACACAATCGGATCTAAACATATCGATAGAACTTCGAATAATTCAATTCCACATCGATAACACCACGGAATAATTTCATATCGATACCATTCCAAAATAATTTAACATATAGAACTATTAAACAATTTTATATTCTTAGAACTATATCATGTATCAATAGACTATGAATACTGTCTCCCTATCGTTATTTCTCCCTAGCGTTAAGGTAAATGAGTTTGTTAGTGATGAACGTAATATCACCTACGGAGTTCCACAAGGAAGTGTGCTCGGACCGACACTTTTTCTCGTTTACATTAACGATCTGGGTATGCTGCCAATTCCACATGGGAAAATTATATCTTTTGCTGATGACACCGCTCTCCTATTTAGTGCGGGGACATGGCAAGAGGTCTTTGCCAGGGCACAAACGGGATTTAATTTAGTTTCAAATTGGTTGTTAAATAATAAATTAACATTGAACGCGGACAAAACTAAATGCATCACTTTCTCCATAACTAAAGTATCATCTGCCCTTCCTCAGATTCCGTATTGTATCGTGGCCCATTCGTGTACTGAACTGAACAATTTTGGTTGCCGTTGCACTCGACTCCAAAACGTTGAGAATCTAAAATATTTAGGAATAGTTGTTGACCGATACCTTAGATTCGATTCTCATATACATACCTTGAACAGTAGGCTACGGAAACTAATTTACGTTTTCAGAACCTTAAGACATGTGACAGATGAAAGGCTCAGGAGAACGGTATATTTTGCGCTGGTTCAATCATTATTGACATACTGTATAACCTCCTGGGGTGGTGCAACAAAAACAAATCTCCTTGAGTTGGAAAGAACCCAAAGAGCAATTCTTAAGGTGTCCAATTTTCTACCCTATCGTCATCCCACAACCGAATTGTATAGGTTAACTAAGGTGTTAACTGTGCGTCAGCTTTTCATTCTTCACACAATGCTGAAGCAACACTCTCTGCTAACGTATTACCCATCAGTAAATGTTGGAGGGCGGCGTTTTGATCCTGTAGACCGATCATA